CAAATCAAGAGATGAACAAGACAATACCACGCTGTTTTCATTGATCAATTTCCTCGGCAATTTAAATAAGTAGTGGGAAAAAAAATACAAAAACAACAATTTCTACAACAAATTACATTTTCGTTTTGCTCAATGATACAAACAATGGCACAAACAAATGTGATCAATCATCTGAAGGGCTCTATGGGTTCGGTTTCTTGCAGAGAAGTAGCCGCTTGAAAACACTCGGCAGCTTTCACCAGACTACTTTCTTCCTTATACAGTAAACCGAGATTATACCAAGCTGCAGCATTCATTCTGTCGAGCCGTAAAGCTTCTGTGAGAAAACTTCTGACAATGGGGGATGATTGTGAGCTCATCTGTCTCAGAACCATGGCCTTAGAGACGAGACTTGGGACGTGTGTTGGATCGACATCCAGTGCAAGGGTATAAGCTTTTAGTGCTTCTTTAAGGTTGTCCCTAGCTTCTTGAAGCAAACCTGCATTTATTATTAATTATTAAAACCCAATGGAAGTTCAGAAATCAGATTGTAACCAGTACATCAGCCCAAGTAGGGCCCCTATGGTGTAAGTAAGTTTATCACATCCGAACACACGGAAAAGTTACAAAATATATCAAGAGTTTAGTTTAGTTGGTGGGAATTTTTAAAAAAAAAAAAAATGTTCATTGTGTTAAACTACGAATATTCCCTCCAGTTCATATTTGTTTTACAAATTGATTCCTGAAAATAGGTGCAATTTAATGACTTAAAATGCTTGTCGGACAGGTATAATTTATAATTATATATATATATGGAGAGAGAGAGAAGGAGAGGGAGAGAGAGAGAAAGAGAGAGAGAGAGAGAGAGAGAGAGAGAGAGAGAGAGAGAGAGAGGTTTTCCTCTTCTAATTAGACAAGCCTCAAGTGTAATGTTGGCAAGTTTCTTAACATGTTTACAGATTAGGACCTCCTCCAACATGTACACACTTCTTTCAGAAAAGATCTTAGGAACTTCCAAGTTGTTTTTGGGAGAGTAAGGACATCCCAGCTTTAGTTAAACTCTAAGTTAACTTCGAGATTTTGCTCATCACGAGATTGCCACAATTAAAAATCTCATAGAACTCTAGCACTTTATTCTGTCCAGACACTAGGACAGCTTATTTTTCAGAAGATTGAACATCTTGTTAGTTGCTCAATCCTATCATAGAATCAGACGTTTTACCGCAGGGGGTACCTAAGTCGTTTTACTCTCATATTAGTTGGTAATGCCATTCGCTTCAGTGAAATGAACCAGAGAATGTATCATTGACTTGCTCAATTATTTAAATTTACCGTCATTTTGTCTTCAGACAAAAACTCCTCCGAACCATTAATGGGAGCTCTTAACCCCTATTACTTTTTCTACTTTTTCGTTTTATTAGCAAACAACATTTCTAGGATGACAGATTTTTCCCACAGCAAGATCATCTGGCAGTGAGAAAGAAACCCACAAAAGGCGTTCTCTTTTCCAAGGAAACAAATCTACATAAAGCATTAGGAAAAGAAATAAAGGCAAAGCTCAGATACCAGTAGCATGCCACCTAAGAGCAGAAAGAGGACCAATGGCAGCAGATTTCGAAACACAAAGCTCTGCATCATGCCATCGAGACAATTTGATGTAGATGGAAGCCAGATCATGCCACGTTTCCAGCTCCAAATTGCTAATGTAGTTCAGGTTCTCCTGGCAATAGGGCCGAAAAAGAAGTCAGAACATTTGTGTAAATCAGGAAAAGATTGAATAAACTAATATGCGATGTAAGACTAACTTGACTTGCAACTAACTCGTCCAATGATGAATGAATGGAAATTTCAAAACATACAACCAACAAAAATAGTTCAAAACAATCAAATTCAGAGGACCGGTATCTCTAGTGTCCTAATGGTAAAGTAATCTGAAAATCAATGTAAACTGACTCATCATCAAGTTAAAACAAATTAAATAAAATAAGATAAGCTAGGAATTAGACTACGTCCTCGGTAAAAAAGTTGAACATGCAGATCCTAACAGAAGTAAGCTCAGGAAGATAATAAGCATGATGGTACATTGCATTACAATGGACAACATATGGCGTGCTCAAACGCATATATGGAATATAATCTAGAATCCAATGGATTGCGAAGAAAGTGAAAAATAGCAACATAGCTACAGTCCAGTGATGCCGTTCAACAACATCCCAGCAAACTTTCATTCGAGTATGCAAGCATAATCACCCTCTCAAATCTTCATAAATATTGGTGCTTAGCTTACCTTTTTATTCCACGAAAACGACATTATATTAACTTCTATTTTTAAGAGGTTAAGTTATCTGCCAAAAAATTAGGAAAACTATAAAAATTTCATTCTCCCATAGTCCCAGTTGATCATACATGCCATTATAGTCCCTGGCCAAACGATCAGTTATTTTTATTTTTTTTTTTCTGAAGGCCTAAGATTAACCCATCAGTGCTAATATATATTAGACTTTGTATTAACACGAGGATGGAGGGAGCTCATCAAAACGTCCATAGCAACAAAAAACTTGTTAACCCATTAAGCAACACTAGAACCCATCAACTCGTTCTCAAGACGCACTCAGTATAATGAATAATGAATCTCAATTATGCAACTGGTATGCCAAACAGGTGAGTATAGGACATCACAATCACCTTAACCTTCTTCCCCGAACCAAAGCTTTTACGCTGAACCTGAATGACAGCAAAAAGTTGTGAATAACTCTCAATGGCCTCCTTTAGAAGCCCCTGAGCAATTTGGAGCTTGGCTTTAGTCCTCAACAGTTCTCCACGATCCCACATTCCTGTCTGATCCAAACCGACATTTACAATACTTTCAGCTTCAGGAAAGCACTTCTTGGCAGATAAAATTAAAGCTAACAAGATCCATCCCTTGATATTGGACCCACCTTCCAATACAACCAATCTTTTCGCAAACTGAAGAGCCGCATCCAGTTTTCTCTGCTCGCCATTTTCTAAACACAAATGATAAACAACAAGGGGGTGATCCATTTTTGTCATTTTACTGGCAATTTCAAGCGACTTGAGTGCCTTGGCTTGTTTTTCACTCCTCTCACTGTCAGTCACAGCACACTTACTGTTAGCCGATAGTGAGATGCCTAACATGCAATGTGCAACACTAATCAACAAATCACATGTCCCTTGCGAATTTTCAATTGCTCTTTGTGAATAAGTAACCCCTTCTTGAAAATATTGCAAATTCCCAGCACATATCTTCGAAGCAAATAATAAAGCCAGTAAATACATTGACTCCTTGTTATTTTTTAACAACTTTCTCCATAATTCCAAAGCTTCAAAGTTGCAACCTTCTCCATAGTAACATAGAGCTAAAGTATGATACCTTTCTTTCCAATCTACAACTCCGGGAAGAAGCTCATCAACTTGATTAGCTAGAGCACCTAGTCCATTGGACATTGATAACGCATAGGACAGATGGTCTAAAATAGAGGGGTCCCACTCAATCCTCTTGAGAGTGACTTTTCTTAAAAGAATTATCAGAAGAAGGATGGCTTCCTCAATACTATTTTTGGGCACAAATGCGCTGTCCATCTGTGACCGCAAGTCGGGAGGAAATATTTCAGCTCCACTGTATAAAAGGAAAACAGCAAACTCTTTTTGGATTTTAGCCGTAGTATGTGCATCCAGGTTCCATGGATGGAGAAGGGCTCGCCGAAAAGACAAGATTGCTTCACGAGGGGAATCGGATAATTTCCATAGTTCTGGAAGCAACTCAACTGCTTTATTTAAAGTCTCCTGCAATTTATTGTCACCAGCAAAATTTTCAGGCATGCCTGCTGGTAGTGAAGATTCAACAATATCCAGAATAACTGAGCATGATTGAGCAGCTTCTGCAGAAAAAGGATGTAGAATATAAATCAAACTCTTTTACAATCTGTTGGGATATGAACTATGAAAGAATTTTTTTTCCAATCCTCTCTATTTAACAGCGAACCTACAAAGACTATGGCAGGAAATTGATATATATATAGAAATATTGCCAGACATGAACACAAGCAACAACAACAACAACAACAACAACAACATACCCAGTATATTCCCAACAGGTTGGGGTCTGGGGGGTCAGTTGTACGCAGACCTTACCCTTGTAATTATACAAGGAGGTTGTTTCCGTAGCGACCCAAGGTGCATTGCGCCGTTTGATATATTTTTTTTTTTTCTAGAAACTTCACTAATAGAAGAAGCACTAGAATTTAATTGAGCCATTTTGATCTAATCCATTATTAGCACTATGCCAGGAGAATTGTCAACAATGACTCTTCCAGCTCCATTTGCAATGGACAAAGGCATGAACACAAGCCAGAGAGAAATATGAGTTTCAGTTTGAGATGGTGCACATAGAGGCGCGCACAGTCCATTGAAGTTTTGAAAACTTAATATGTTAAATATATATAGGCATTTTTAAGTCAGAAACAGATTTTAGTAGGTATATAGATAGCATTTTCCTTCATTACCTGCAACGATCGTGCCGCTGCAATGAGCAGATAAATAGTGATGGCAACAACGGCTTCTTTTATTGGAATAGTTAATTTGAAGTATAAGTACAACCCAAGATTTAGTTAAAACTTTATGAAAGACTTACAAAAGTTGAATAGCTATGGGATGCATCTGATACTAAATAAAAACATGAAAAAAATCATTATCGTAAATGATACCTTTATACCTCCCAAGCGCTTGTAATGATTTTGCTTTTAGATAGATTGCTTCAAATAGCAGACTCACAGCATGTACCGACATTGGAGGAGTTGCATAATTATGAGAGTGCCTCTTACGAGTTTCTCCTATTCTAGAAAGCGTGACTTTCATATTTGGAGTCACGCCAGCTATATCAATTCCTTCGAACACATGTAAGGCTGCTTCTATGTTCCCTTTTTGGTACTCATACCTTCCTAACAATGCCCTAGCTTCCTGTTAAAGAATTACTTAGTCAGTTTACAAAAGGCTTACAATATATGATGACAATGCAATGATGATCCATTAACAGACGTCCAAAAAATTAACAGAGGAAAAAAAGAATACAAATTAGACCACATCAGATTAGGCAGGACAAAAAGGAGAAAAAGGAAGGCATTAAGATTATCACAACCTCATAATTCAAGCAACCACTTTCACGCAACGATGTTTCGGCTTCTTCAATGTTGCCAGTATCAGGCTTTTTTTCAGCTTCTTCAGGTCGGGATGAATAAACACTGGCTGAATAATCCTTTGTTGCAAGAGATTCAGATGAAGGGACCATTTCATCTCTTTGTAACTGTTCCCCTGAACAAAAACACTGCATAATTTTCCCCAACTTCACATGAACACGATCCCTCCTCAGTTCTCCAATCTGGTTCTCATTTCTCATAGTGCTTCACCCCTCTATAAATTCTTGAGCAAGCGGAAAACCAAAATTAATAAATAATAGACAAAAAGTAAGAAAGAAAACAAAAACCAATCCCCGTATATGATCATAACACCCCTCAGAGAAAAAAGGCAAAAAAGAATCTCCATCATGCTGAAAATCGTATAATCCAATCATCGGAAAATCTCATATATACTAAATACAATTATACACAAACTTGCTTCTAGCTGCAAATCCTAACCATACCAAAGAAAAGTAACTTGCAACCGATCAGAACTCAAAACTCCAAGTTTCATCACCACAAACTGAACTTCACAAGTATTTCCTCGAAAACTCGTTTCAGAATACCCCAAACAGTTAAAAACACACAGTGACATGAGGATCACCAAGCAATACGCAGCAATCACCATGTACAGAAAGAGCTTAACTATAGAGGATTAAGATACAAAAAGAAACAACTAACNGGAAAAAACACACACGCACAAACACATACACACACACACAAACATATGCACATAGTTGATTTGCGACAAGTTTCACCTTCCGCCGTCGAAATCACAGCACACGAAGCTCGGGTCGGATATCCACAGCACATCAACCCTAGTCCGCATCTCACCACTGCAAAATCCGATAATTTTATCCTTCCAATCGCGAAAAGTAAAACGAATTACGCAAAATTCCGATGATCAAAACCACAAACCGATAAAAGCTTCCGCAAATTTCTGCGCCATTTTAACACTTTATCCTTGCTTTTTTCCTCGAATTTTATTTAGAAAACCCTTTCCCCTCACAGTCTGCGCATCTAAAGATGGAGCACAAAATTTCAAAAGGGGAAGAAACTGAAAAGCAGGGAAATGGAAAATGAGAAAGAAAAGCGCGTGAAAGAAGATTAGGCCAGTTGGCAGTTAAAAGTAATAGTTTTCAATATTATAGGTCGAATTTATTAGAAAATATTATGTGGTTTATTGGGGAAATTTTATTGAAAGGCTAACTTTTAGTAATTGTATTAATCTAAGGCATGAATTTTGTACTTTTTCAATAGAAGACTTATATTTTATGTTATTCTCACTTTAAGGTTTACATTTTAGTTACCTTTCCATTATAAGGCCCAACTAACTTTACCTTTTCATATAAATATGTAAAACAATTATTATGTGAATAAAATTATTATTATTATTGTTATTTTGTAATTTATATTTTGCATACTTATAATAAAAAATAATAAATATCTTTAGTAAAATTATATTAATAAAAATTAATTTTAACTTTTCTTTTTGGAAGCAAAAGTTGATACTATGTCATTGCTTGTTGAAAATGATATATTTTTGTAGATTGCATTTATATATTATTTTTTAGTTTTATTACATATTTATATTATTAATAAAAATAATATTTCCATTACATATTTTTTTAATTCACTTATCATTTTTTTAAATTATTCATGATTAAACTTTTGCATAAATATAATTTATATAGTTTCGCTATAATATTAAGTAAATATTACTAAAGATATTTATTATAAGTATGTAAAATATAAACTAAATAAAAAATTATTTTTGTTCACATAACTATATTATAAAATAAAGTTAATTGGTTCACATATTTATATCAAAATATAATGTTAATTGGGCCTTACAATGGAAAGTTAACTAAAAAGTGAGCCTTAAATTGAGAATAACCTAAAATATAGGTCTTCTATTGAAAAAGAATAAAATTCAAGCCTTAAATTGATACAATATCAAAAAGTTGAGCCTTCTGATGGAATTTCCCCGTGGTTTATTGGGCTCTAGGGGAATTGATAGTTCCATGTGGGGCCAGTTTTTTATTTTAAAAACCATTTGAGAAATTTACTTTACTTAATTCCTTTCAACAATATCTGAATTACTAAATACCGCACCCATTTTATTACGTACTGCGCTCTTAAAATACTAAATTGCCCTTCACTTAAAAAAAAAATTTATCCTATCTCTCCCCAAATAATCGGC